GCGAGCAAAAACCGGAGGAACATGATCCGACACGTGAATCAGGGCATCCTCAAGAACCGCGGGGCGAAACAACACCACATGACACTTCGCGGGGAGGGGGGGTCGGACGTGGCGCGAGCCTTTGTGTCTTGGCGTCGCCGAGCGCGATGGCCGCCATCGGTTCGAACCCCCCCTCCCCTCTCGCATCAGAGCCTAAGACTCTGGCCCCGCCCCCCTCCGAGGAAGCGAAAGTGGGCGAGGCAGTTTCTTACTGAGTCCGAGGAGACCTGGCAGGAGGACGTCGGATATCGCCATTACCACCCCCTCCCAATTCCATTCCTTCTCCTCGTCCTGCTCCTTCTTCTCCTCCTCCTCCTGCTCCTCTTCCTATCTCTTCCTCGCCTTATCTGGTGATCAATTCTCCTTCGCCCGTGCCCGCCCTGCAAGAGCCGGGGGTTCAGGCCCCCGCCCCCGCCCCTCGCCCGTAGGGCGAGGGCGCCCCCGACGACGAGGTGGGCGACGACGCGGACGACGACGATGACGCCGCCACGCTCAAGATTCTTCGTCGGCCAGCTGCGCCACGTGCCCCGATGAAGGTGAGGCCCGCGGCGTGGCAGCTGGGCGACCTCAAGGTGCTCGAGGAGAAGGGCGGCTGGGCGCTGGGCTGGAACGACGCGACGAAGGTCAACAGGGGGCGAAAGGCGAGGGAAGCGGGGGGGGCGGAGGTGAGGGAGGGCAGGGGAACCGAACAAATGCATTGCGATTCGGAGGAGGGGGGGAGAGGGTGGAAAAGAGAAGTTCGAAAGACAATCAGGGATATGGAAGAGGGGGGGCAGGGGGAGGACGAGGGACGGCATGGGGGGGGGCTTCCCCCCGCACCCCTCCCTCCCCAACTCACCCCTCCCCCCCGCCATCCCTGATCCCCAATCCCCATCCCTCTCCTCCCCCTTCTCCTCCCCCCCCTCCTCCTCCTCCTCCTCCTCCTCCTCCTCCTCCTCCCCCATCCCCCTCCTCTCCTCCTCCTCCTCCTCCTCCTCCTCCTCCTCCTCTACCTCCTCTCCTCCTCCTCCTCCTCCTCCTCCTCCTCCTCCTCCTCCTCCTCCTCCTCCTCCCCCTCCTCCTCCTCCACCTCCTCCTCCTCCTCTCCTCCTCCTCCTCCTCCTTCTCCTCCTCCTCCTCCTCCTCCTTTTCCTCCTCCCCCCCCGCCCGCAACCTCGTTTTGGGATGCGACCTCAGGCAGCTTGGCGCTTCAAGATGAGCGAGGACAAGAAGATGGCGCAGCTGCCTGAATTCCAGAGGCCAGCGCGCGTCCGAGATCATCTTGAGGCGACCTTTCCTGATGGGCTAGCGCGGCGCATTCCTGGAGTCGACGCTGAGATCGTGGACGAGGGCAAGGCCAGCACGAACATCTTCTTCAGGCAGCCGGTGCCCGACGAGTACAAGGAGATCCAGGTGAAGTTGGTGAAGAAGAACCACGTGACCTGGCTGCAGGCGACGAAGGGCCCACGCGAGCAGCTGATCCAGATGACAGGCATCCCGCCCGAGAAGCTGGACATGGCCAAGACATGCTTGATCGGCCTCATCCAGAACTACGCGAGTGGCAAGATGGCCAAGACGGGCATCGAGCAGAAGAAAGCAGAGCGGCTTGAGTACCACGCGCCGAAGCCGAAAGCAAAGGGCAAAGCCAAAGCAAAGGGCAAAGGGGGGGGAAAAAAAACGAGAGAGAGAGAGAGAGAGAGAGAGAGAGAGAGAGAGAGAGAGAGAGAGAGAGAGAGAGAGAGAGAGAGAGGAAGAGAGAGAGAGAGAGAGGAGGAGAGAGAGAGGAGAGAGAGAGAGGAGAGAGGAGAGAGAGAGAGAGAGAGAGAGAGAGAGAGAGAGAGAAAGAGAGAGAGAGAGAGAGAGAAGAGAGAGAGAGAGAGAGAGAGAGAGAGAGAGAGAGAGAGAGAGAGAGAGAGAGAGAGAGAGAGAGAGAGAGAGAGAGAGAGAGCAAAGTCGAGACGAAGGTCGACGACGACGACGACGACGACACTGATGAGAAGAGCGTCGGCTCCAACCACGATGGCGGCAGTGGCGAGGAGGAGGGCGAAGACGCCGACGAGGCCGAGGATAGCGAGGAGGAGGAGCAAGAAGGGGAACAGCCCGAAGAGGAACCCACGGAGCCCGTGCAGAGGAAGCCAGCAGGGAAGACCGAGCCCACGCCGCTCGAGGAGGACGAGGAGGAGGAGGAGGAGCCCACAGTGCCAGTGATGAAGAGGCCAGCAGCAGCGGTGACCGCATCCCTCGAGGAGCCCATGGTGAAGAGGCCCGCGGCAGCCTGTGGCGAGGAGGCCGAGAAGAAGCTCCGCCGCGAGCAGTCGCCCAAGAAGAACACGATCAAGAACGCGAACCTCGAGAGGACGCCGCCCCAGCCCGCGACCCAGGAGATGGCCGAGCCCGACGGCCGCATTTCCGCGGGGGCTATCCCGCCCGACATGTTCTGGTGATGTGCATCGGCCGCGCTGCAGCGCCGATGAAACAATCGTCTCCTCGGTTTCCCAAGCTCGAAAACGGTATGTAGTTTTTCGGCTATCGGTGCCCATCCATTCCGCCACATTTGGGCGCGGCTCGGAAAATGGGTGCGTTGCCCATCGGAGCTCATTCGCAATTTCAGAATTCATCCAACTATTCCATTCCAGCACCCTCTTTCGTCGTAGTCGTCCTCGTCCTCCTCGCCCCCCTCCTCCTTATCCTCATCCGCCCAGGCTGGTCGCTGACTCTCCCTCGCCTTCTTCTCATTCGCGGCTCGCCCAGCAAACCCTCCCCCTGGCAGCTTTGCATCCTCGCCCTGAGCCCAATCGGCTGCGAGGAGCCCTTGCATCCCCGAGAACCGGTTCGATGCGCCCCCCCGTCCAATGCATATTCCGCAGGCCCCCATCGGAGGCGGGAAGCGCACGGGAGGAAAAGGAGGAGGGGGAGACAGGGGGAGGGGAAGCGAGGCGGGAGAGGATGGGGAGAGGCGGAGAGAGGAGGGAGGAGGGAGGGGAGGAGGAAGAGTGAGGAGGGAAGAGAGGAAATGTAGGGGGACAATCTGAGAGGGATGAGGAGGAAGCGGATGAGGAGGAGGAATTAAGCAAGCGGGTACGAGCGGTGATGCATACATATTTATATAGAGAGAGTTGATCACAGCTCGTCTAAAGGAGACGTTGAGCTCCAAGGGCCCCATCGACGAAATGGAGGTTGACAACACTTTCAACAACATCTACCGCGACCCGTCCTTCTTCGCCCTGATGACGAGCAAGGGGCACAGCAACGTCGACAGAACAATGCAGGACCTGGCCCAGGACATTTCGCCTGAAGGGCATTTGTACTCGCCCGCGAAGTGGGGCCTCCCGCTATCCGACGATCAGAAGAAACAGGCCGAGCAGGAGAGGATCGCGGACGACGGCGACGAGTCGGCTGGGAAGGGCAAGGGCACGCTCGCCCAGGAGCTCGATTTCTGGAAAGGCGTCGCTGACAATGCATTCAAAGTTCCGACGGACAGCCGGCAAGGCGCCATTGCAGGGCGCTGGGCTCGCGCCATGGAGTCCGATGGTGAGATGAGGGCGAAGTACAACAGCATAACAGGTGAGAAGAAGAACCTTCGCAAGCAGCAGTTCAGGGAGGACTGGGCAAAGAAGAAGTGCGACCAGGCGAAGGACGGGCCGCGGAGCGGGGTGGCGGGGGGGGATGACCAGGAACACATGGAAGAGGAAAACAAAAAAACATCCAATGACGAGGTATGGGAAAGAGAGGCTGGAGGAGTAAGGGAGGATGAGCGGGGGGGAAGATAGGGCAGAGGAGGACGCGGGAGGGATCGGGGAGGAGGAGGGGTGTGGTCGGCGGCGGGTGGGAACGAGCATGCACAAAGCATAGCTAACTCCGCTCCCAGGAGGGCGCGAAGCACGTACGTGAGCTCAAGAGGTCCGAGTGGACGCAGGGCAAGTATTTGCCCCTGGCCCGCATCGCCCACAAGTTGGGCGGAGGCGCCCTTGGATGGCGCCAGGCGTTGCATGAGGAGCACGAGTTAGAGGGGGATGATGGGATGGTGGAAGGGCAAGCGGGAGAGCGGACGAGGAGGGGAAAGTTGGAGGGGAGCTGAAGGAGGGAGGGGATATGAGGAAGGACGAGGCTGAGGACGATGATACCGATCGAGCTGAGGAAATAGCTGGATGAGAGCTGGCGATCACCAAACTCATACGCGAACTCATACGCGTATGCGTTTGCGTATGAGTTCGCGATCGGGGGTAGGGGTCTGGCGGAGCGCGCCTCAGCCTGAGGCTGTGACGATGTTCGCCAAGTGCATGCAGCTCGGGCCGCCGTGGATCATGTACGATCCGATGACGGAGGCGCTGAGAGGTTTGCACATCGAGATCGCAGCGGCCCTAGATCTGTCTTGCCACATCTCCGATCGATCGCTCAGAGTGTCGGCCGACAGAGCCCCTAAGAATCCAGACTGCGCGGCAGTCTGGATTTTTTTATGGGCTGTTTTTTTTTTCTCCGAGGTGGGAAACCAAAGGCGGTGGGTGGGTAGCAGATCGGGGTGGTAGAAGGGATCGGCAGGCCATCCCAATTCTTTCTCCCTTGCTACGTTCGCCCTCTTGCGTCTGCTTCGCACTTCGATGGCCCTCGCCGTTTCCCGAATCGCCCCTGGCCGCTGTCCGCCACGATTCACCCAAGATCCCCTGTGTCAGTGTGATCTAGCAGAGTTTCGCGCACCCCATCGGAGCTGAGGGCTTCTCGCGCGTCTTCACGGAGGCTTGGCAGATGCACGCGGAGCGGTCCATGAAGGACGATGAGCAGCCCCCGAAGCGCGAGCTGAAAGCGGAGCCAAGGGTGAATTTTATAATCCTACATAATTTGCCCCCTGGCTATCCTCGAGAAGCTTGCCCCACCCCGCAACAAAAACAGTTCTCGAAACATCGTTTACGCATAGAGAGCATTAGGACGAAACATCGTTGACGCATACTGTTTGGGCAGCCCCCAGTAAGGAGACCTCCGCGGAGGACAGCGAGGCAAAGCGCAGGCGCATTTCTGGGAAGCAACAGGGAGCTGGCCAGCAGAGCGGGCAGCCCGCGGACGGCCAGGGCAACGCGGGCACCGATGCCGCCGCTGCCCCGCAGGAGCTGGGCAAGCGCAAGAAGAGGGGAGGAGCGGGCACCGCTGCCGAGAGCGGCGGTGGTAAGACGGCCGCAGCCGCCGCCGCGGAGGAGGAGAAGGCCAAGAAGAAGGCCGATAAGGAGAAGCAGAAGGCCGAGCGGGAAAGGCAGAAGGCTGAGAAGGAGAGGCAGAAGGCTGAGGAGGCTGCCAAGAAGGCCCAAGACCCAGTCGAGCGTGAGAAGATGGCGGTGGCCTCCGCAAAGAAGACCCTGTTTCAGTACAGCCAGCTCGTGCAGCAGGCCCGCCAGATCATCGCGTCGACCGAGGCCGGCGGCCTGTGGGCGAGCTTCAAGGCCGACGAGGACCTGATCGCCCTGAAGCAGAAGATGGACGAGCTGCCCGCGAAGGTCATGGACAACAGCCTGCTCTCCAAGTGCACCATGACCGAGCTCACCAAGATCAAGAGCGTCGTCGGCGAGAAGCACTGGGAGGCCGCCTTGTTGGCCGTCAACGGTATGGGCCAGGCCTTGAACTCCATCCAGGGGAACCTGAAGGTTCTGATGGCCTCCTTCGAGCTCAAGCAGCAGCGCGCGGCCAGCGAGAAGGTCGCGCAGGCTGCGGAGGCGTAGGTCGCCCGCTCTCTTCGGCAGCTAGCCTCTCCTACTACATAATACCTTTGTGTCCCCCCTCCTTCGCAGCTGCCTGCGCCGCGGATCGGTGCCATGATGTTTTTGACAGGCGTGCGTGCAAACATTTCAGCTGGCGCAAGCGCTTTATCTGTCTGAATGTCGGCGAGCTGAATGTGCCATAAGGGAATTTGCAGAAATCCAAAAAATCAGGAAAACAGACGAATATTTGAAGCAAATGACGAAAACACTACCGCATGAACTACCGTGTGAAAATTCGTGATCATATGGTACCCACACAACCGTATGAACATGCATATTTCCTGTATTTTTACAGGGTTTGAACCGTATGAAAAGCCCCCACATGGATCTCACATGGAAATTCATACGCGTATGAGGTACCATGTAAAAACGAATGCACCAGGGAAGGGCCGGGATATATTGGGCCGGCATACAACATATAGGTCTGCAGAGATATTTCAGAAGGGCCCAGGGCCGCGGGAACCCTCCAGGAGCATCCCAGGGGGCACATTACCTTGAAGCCGGCAGCGAGTTTACCTGCAGCGCCAGCCTGTCTGCCAGCGAGCAACATTATACTTTTTTGTATAATGCCATGCCAGAGTTGGAGGGCAACGCTCCAGGGATTGGAGAGCATGGCGCTCCGGCTCTGAGGGCGAGCCTGGCGGTCTGACGACAAATTTCTGTGCGGCCTGCTGAGGCCAACTGCATTTCGATTGCTCATCCCTGCGCCTCGCTGCAGACCTGCGCGCGCGCGGTGACTCATGGCGCAACCTCGTGAGAGAATAGGGGCAGCGTGATGTCAAAGATGCTTCGTGATCGGATCTTGGCGCCCGCAAGATGCAGCTGGCGTAAATTCCCAGACCACTTATCTCTCGGCCTCGTTTCGCCGCTCCGTCGCCCCCCCTCTTCCCTACCCTCGCTCTCCAGCACTCTCCCTGGGGCGCGTGGTAGACTCGGGCCGAGGCGGCGTGCGAGATGCAGGGGTCTGGCGGGATCGGCGCCAGGCAAATAAATATAGCTAGAGTCGAACTTGGGGGGGCCTTCCGAGACGCCGAGAGTCGCCTGAGATTGGAAGGGGGAGGGGAGTTCTGTGCGCCCCATCTGCTTTCACACTGCTCCCCTGCTCACTGACCATCCCCATTCGGTCCATGCCCCCCTGCTGCTGGCGAGGAGGGCGCCCCCCTCCCTGTCCTCAACAATCTCCTCCTACGCCCCGCCTTCTCATCCATCATGCCACTCGCGCCTCACGCCATGACCATGTCATTCATCACAGCCAGAACTAACATCACCAATCAATCATTCACCAACAGCTGCAATTTGTATCAAGCGCCGCGCGCGAGCAGAGTTTGCTTCGCACTAATGGAGGGCGACAGGTCTCGCACGCCTCCTGGGCCCAGAGCGTGGACGCCTAGCACTCATGCCGAGAGGGAAGCAGGCGCTGCCATGCTAACTCTTCTGTTGGAAATGTATGCATCGCGTTCTCTTTCAGCGAAGAACTTCGCCACGCTCTGTCATTACGGCACATCCGCAAACATTAGAGGTGGTGATTGGTCTCGCTACGCCGTGAAGCCAGGGCAGAGTTCTGGAAACTACCAGCAGCACTTAGACCGCGTGCTTGGACCTCCTTCTGGTGTATATGATAACGTATCGGTCCCGATGTTCGATCAGACTCATGGTCGCGTGCTCAGGACGGTGCCGAACAAGATCATTTGGGACTCGCTGGAGTCGGAATTCAGAACAGACAGGGATATCGCCCGCATACTTGCCTCACAGACGCACCCCGTGATGATGGTGCCAGCTTACAACCAGCACCCCGTCGTGATCGAGGCGAGGCAGCAGGGCCGCCAGCCGCCCATTCCGTTGGGATTCTATCTCGACGGCGTGCAGTATATATCGCAGGCCGCGGGCCGAAGCGACACTGCGCTGGGGTTCTGGATAATCAACATGCTGTCAGGACGGCGCCATTTCATCTCGGCCCTGAAAGGGCAGGACTTATGCCAGTGCGGGCGTCGGGGCCACTGCTCCCGCTTCCCAGTTATGCACCATGTGCGGTGGCAACTGCGAGCGATGCAGCGAGGCGCCGTTCCAACCTTGCTGCGCGATGGCCAGAGCCCATGTCCAGAGCAGTGGCCTCCAGGCAAACGCCTACCCTACACAGCAATTATGCGATACATCAAGGGCGACTGGGCAGAACACACGCACACCCTCGGCTCGATGCCTTGGGGCGCGGCGTGGAACCCCTGTCAGTTCTGCTGGCTCGAAAAAAATCAGCTTCATGACTGCGACGATGCACTTTGTGATCCAGACCCTCCGTGGCCCCTGAAGGACCGCGGCTCGCACGAGAGGTCGTGCGCATCTTGTGAAGTTCATGTTGAGTTAGTCAAGCCATCAGACGTTCAAGCTTTGGGGAGCTCCCTGAGATGGGACAGGCCGCCGACAGGGGTCGGCGGGAGGCTAATATCTAAAGATATTGTCATCAACGACGTCGTCCTCAACGTGGGGGACAGGCTATGCCCGTCTGAATCGCTGCCGGACGTTGGCGCCCTTAACGATGTTTCGGTTCCATTGTGGGTGACGCTCTGGCGCGCCAGGAGGGACCCGCAAGGGAAAGTCATGGATGCCGTCAACAACAGATGTCCGTTATTCTGCCAGGAGCTTCATACATCGCCAGCAAAGTCGCTGGCCGTCGACATCTTACACACATTGTATTTCGGGCCCGCCATGCGCTGGATGAGCGCGAGTCTGCACAGAATCATTCAAGAACCCATGGCGTATTGGAGGCGCGATGGATCAGGTCCATGCCATTGGGACTAACTACATCAAGTCGGACATGGCCATCTACATGGTGGCCAACGTACCGCAGGAGAGGCGCCTCAACACGCTGACAGTCCAGATGCTTGGCAAGCGTCGAGGTGCATCTCTTCTGGAGCCACTTTTGTTGGCTTTCCTTAAGCTTGGTCACCGTCGTCGTCGCGTCAGTCAGCCTGTTTCCCTCCTTCTCTCTCACTCGACCCCCTTCCCTGCCACGCCCCTCAACGCGTCACTAAAATCCCACGACCCACCCGTTGATTTTTGCAGGGCGTCAGAAGCTTCGACCATAGGCCTTGGCGGGAGGGGAGCCGGAAGGGGGGGGGTCGGGGAGCGAGAAAGGGAGGAGGTCGGGGGGCGAGAGAGGGGGGGCGTCTGGTGTTTAGAGGTCGAACAGTTGCCAAGAGGCGAGGAGGTGTGGAAGGCTCAGGTCGGGAAAGAGTGGAGAGGCTGTCTCTGTGCTCCTCATCCTCGATCCTCCTCAACCCTAGATCGCATTGTCCAGTTGTCTCTGCCTCCTCCAATGACTTCAATCAATTATGCGCGGCAGTCCCCTCAATCTATCCCCTGGCTGTCCTCGCCGACAACCTCCTTCCATTTCTATGCGAAACGAGGCAGGGTCGCCTATGATGAGCGGCGCGGGCAGCGGCCCCGCCATTCCCAGAAGCTGGGATAACCCCAGGGGTGCGGAGTCCAAGATCTTGCTGCCCATCCCTCATCCTGCTTCTCTCGCCCCTCTCACCCTTGCCTCTCTCGCTCCTCCCCCTCGTTCCACCGTGTCCTATCTCTCCCGCTCGTCGCCCTCTTCCTCCTCCTCCTCCTCCTCCTCCTCCCCCGCCCCCCACTCCTCCTCCTCCTCGTCACCTCTCTCAACCTCCGTCCTGCTGCTGCTCCTCGCCCTCGCTTGCATCCGCAGCCGTTTGGGCTCAATCAGCATCGAGGTTCTACATGCAAGTCAGCATGAATCTCTGGCGCTTCGCTCCCGAGGAGGACGCCGCGATTGACAGTGGCGCAGGCAGATCCGATGGCAGACGTTGGAAAGTGAAAGGAGGCGTCACGATTGATGGCGACAGTGGCGCTAGCGGGTCCCACGACACGGGCCCCGACGGAGTGGCGACGGATCTCGGCTACGTCGACGCGAGCACTTACGAGTTCGAAGCTTGGCTCCTCGACCCTGGCCTCTTCGAGTTCTCCGACGGCGTCAAGAAGGACCGCGGCGACGTCGACGCGGCCACCTGCGAGTTGTCCGACGGCGTCGTGAAGGACCGCGCGACGGATTCGAGCGTCGCCGAACGGGGGCCGGATCCATTGGGCCCTGCAGGGGTGGAACAGCTCAATGCGGCAGATGGCCATGCACAGGCGCCCGTGGCAGGACTTAGGTCAAAAACAAAACTCCACATCACTCCTCCCTCTCCTCTTACTTATCTCCCTGGTATGCTCCTCTCTTCGTTTTGCTGTTGCTTTCCTCTTGCCTCGCCCTCACTTCCTCTGCCCCCTCGCCCATCCTCTGTCAGGGTCCGCGGGGGCGCCGAGGTAAACGCGCCTCGCTTCCTGGGCCGCGGTTGGCCCCTGGGCGCAGATAGGGCAGCGCGGCGCACGCCTGAACTCACATGCAAACTCATACGCGCATGAGTTTGCGCGTGAGTTTCCCCCGCTGTCCAGGACGTCGAACCCCAGGAGGCGATCGCAGAGGGTCTGCTGGAAAGGGCTCGTCGCGTTTCACAGTTGCCGCGTCTCTGCGGCCAGTTGTTAGGACCCCCCCCCCCCCCGCCCTTAGAGGCGCAGAAGAGGAGTGCGATGTGGCCACCCAGAGCTTCGCAAAAACCCTTGAATCTGGACCTTGACCGCCAGGCATAAATCTGTAGGTCTTAGCAGCCAAAACTTCTTTATTTAAGTATTGGTGCTATTGTAAGGGGGTTCCCCCTGTATTGATCTCCGTTCTGGTCAATATTCAAACCCAGAGGTCCGTTCGATCGCAGATCCGGATCGAGATATTCGTTGCGATAACATGTCGTGCTATATGTAACACATGTTCATGTTAATTGTATATAGTAAATTCTATGATGTTGTAGCACTTACATGGCACATATTGTTATCAACAGGACGGTATAAAGTTCATTTGTTCCTTAAAAAAGCTAGCTAAAAGGAGCCCCCGTCAGTCTTGAGAGCCCCAGATGCTCTCAAGACGAGCGCTGTGAACCCAAGACGGCCCCCAAAGCCCGCAGTGACCCCAGAAACCCCAAGGCCCCCAAGGCGAACCCCGAGATGACCCCGAGGTCCCCCCAAACGCCCAAAGACGTTCCCATCGCTGCAAGTTTCATCGCCGCAAGTTTCATCGCTGCAAGTCTGGCAGCGTCGCTGTTGCATGTTGCGGCGGTTTCCGAACACGAGAGCAACTGAAGTGCTGAAGTTAGCGTGGCCCTACGCCCGCGGCGCGGGCAAGAGTGGCGCAGTAAGAGCGGAGGCGGGGCGGAGCGGCAGGAGCAAAGGGGAGGGAAGGGAGGAGAGGCGGAGGAGAGAGAGGAGGAGGAAAAAGGAGGAGGACGAGGATGAGAAGGAGGAGGAGGCGGAGAAGGAGAGAGGAGGAGGAGGGGGAGGAGGAGGCGGGAGAGAATCAACGAAAGGCAAGGGGGGTGGAGGAGAGGGGGAAGGTAAGGGGGGGAGAGGAAGCAGGAGGGAGAGACACAGGAGAGAGAGAGGAGAGAGGAGAGGAGGAGGGAGAGGATGAGGATCAGAGTAGGGAGGAGAGAGAAGGAAAGAAAGAGAGGAGAGAAGGAGCGGGAGAGAGAGGAGGAGAGGGGGAGAGGAGGAAGGAGAGGAGAGAGGAGAGGAGAGGAGGAGGGAGAAGAGAAGGAAGAGAAGGAGAGCAGAGGAGGAGATAGGAGGAAGAGAAACAGCGAGAGGGAAGAGGGGTGAAGGAGCAAGAAGCAAGAGGAGGAGGAGGAGAAGAGAGTGAGGGGAGGAGAGCGGAAAGAAGTTAAGGGGAAGGGAGGGTTGATGGGGGAGAGGAGTATAGGGAGGAGGAGGAGGAGGTGGTGGAAGAAGTGGTGGTGGAATCCCCTCACTGCCCGCTCAGTGCTAGAGCTTCGGCCTGCGCCCGAGCCAGGGCGATCGCGTTCGCCTCCGTGCGCTCCTCTTGGGACTCCCCTCGCCCTCTTCCTCCTCCTTGTCCTCATCCTCTTCCTCCTTCTACTCCTCCTCCTCCTCCTCCTCCTCCTCCGACTCCTCTAGCTCCTCTGACTCCTTCTCTTCCCCCCCACCTCCGCTCCTCCTCCTACTCCTCCTCCCCCTCCTCCTCTTGCTCCTCAACCTCCTCCTCCTCCTCCTCCTCCTCCTCCTCCTTATCCTCCTCCTCATTCCCCTCGTCGTCGTCGTCGTCCTCTTTCTCCCCCCCCGCCGGGCCCTCCCCCTCCTGGCCCGAGCTGGTCGCGAGCTCGCGAAGGCAACGCCCTCGTCTTTCTTTTTGCCTCTCGCTCAGGGCCCCAGGAGGATAGAGGGGATAGAGTGGGAGGTGAAAGGAAGAAGAAGAAGAAGAATAATACTAAGAAGAAGGAGAATGAGGAGAGGGAGGTGGAGGGGAAGGTGGGGAAGGCGGAACTGGCGAGGAGGACGTTGCCCTCGCGAGCTCTCGACTATCTCGGTTCAGCTGGGGGAGGAGGAGGAGGAGGAGAAGGAGGGGAAGGAGGAGGAGAAGGAGGAGGAGAAGGAGGAGGAGAAAAAAAGAAGAAGGCGAAGCAACCTGAGAGGATGAGAGGACGACGGTGAGAACGAGGAGGAGAAGGAGGAGGACAAGGAGAAGGAGGAGGGGAAGGAAGTCAAGGAGGAGGAGGAGAAGGAGGAAAATGAGGAGGAGGAGGAGGAGGAGGGGACCCTTTCGGATTCCAGAGTCCATGCTCGGGGTCGGCGAACCCTGATGGTTGAGCACCGACTTCAAAATGAAGTTCTGCATCAACATCTGCACCATGTACTCGAGAGAGAGACAACCCTCGATTTCAAGTCCGAGAGCTTGGCGTTTGTCTCCGAATTCTCCTTCATTACCTTTTTCATGATGTCGACGGCCTCTGAAACGATGTTTTGAGTTGTCTCCCTTCTCCCTCTTCCTCTCCACCTCCCCCCCCCCTCCTGCCCCTCCTCCCCTCCGCCTCGCCCTCTCATTCCTTCCGGACACGTCCCGCCAAGCCTGAGTCATCTCGGAGTTCGAGCGAGCACAATTGTCGAGGATCGCCGAAACCGAACCCATGAGGACCGCGGCCGCCTCTGGAACCGACATCTCCTCGGAGTCGACCTTGCCGAATCCCTTTGAGCCCTTGCCGAGATCCTGGCCCTTGTCCGAGCCCTTGCCGAAATCAGTGCCCTTGTCCGAGCCCTCGCCGAGATCCGCGTCCGAGCCCTTGCCGAGATCCTGGCCCTTGTCCGAGCCCTTGCCGATCGGGACATGAAACACATCTGTGACGACGCCCTGGAAGATCCCTGAACTCCGAGCATCTGCGGGCTCGAGGCGAAGCAACACTTTGTCGCCGATTCTGGAGACCTGGCCCTTGCCGAAAACCGTGCCTGTGCCCAGGCCGAAATCTGTGCACATGCCTGTGCCCTTGCCGAGATCCTGGCCCTTGCCGAGATCCTGCCCTTTGCCCTTGCCGAGATCCGTGCCTTGGCCCTTGCCGAGATCCGTGCCGTGGCCCTTGCCGAGATCCGTGCTGCTGCCCTCTGGTTCGCGCACTGGCGAG